GGTAATGTTCATCTACACCCTTCACCAATACAAGTGCAGGGTAATCGCCGTTCTGCACCATGGCTTTTTCTTCTATGGTGTAAGAGACAGCAGTTACGCCGGGCCAACTGGCTATTTTTTGCTTTTGTTCATTGCTGAGTTGCAAAATTTTGCCGGAAGCCGGTGATACTTTCAGGTCTGTGTAAAAATCGGCGTACAAAGATTTTACCAGGTCTTCAAAACCGTTAAAAACGCTCAATAAAATAATTAATGCAGCAGACCCCACGCCCATGGCCACCACACTTACCCATGCAATAATATTGATGGCATTGGTAGATTTTTTTGCATTAAAATAGCGCCAGGCAAAGAGGAAGTTCATATCTGAGCTGTTAGCTTCTAGCGGTTAACTATTAGCTTTTAGTACATTGCTTTAAAATATTGGTCCCGTTTTATTAATAATGGATTTGAATTAAGCTTTCCAAAAAACAACCCAAACTATGATTCAATACATCATTCAAAAGCTTGTTCACCCCGCAAGCGCCTGATAGCTAATGGCTAACGGCGTTCTTTGCCCCTCAAGCGCCTAACAGCTAAAAGCTAATAGCTATGCCCTAAAAGCTTCCTCACTCTTCCTTCTTCTCTTTATTAATCTTCTTAAACAGCTCCTCCATTTTAAACACATTGTCCAGGGTATCGTCTATAAAATACCTGATCTCCGGAACGCGGCGCAGCTGGTGCTTTATCCGGCTCACCAGTTCCTTTTTGATTTCCCAGGCACGGTCATCTATTTTCTTCAGGGCAGCTTCACTGTCTTTTACCTGGAAGAAACTGAGGTATATTCTTGCTTCCAGTAAATCAGGCGTTATTTTAACAGACGAAATGGATACCATACCCCCGTTGAGCATACTTAAGCCCAAACGCTGAAAAATATCTGTCATGTATTCATGCAATAGCCCCGCAACCTGTTTTTGACGTTTTCCTTCTTCCATAAATTTCAGTCTATAAGCAGTAAATTTACAGCTTATTTGCACCTCAAAAGGCAAATTACCGCAGCAGCCTTTTTTTTAACCATTTGGCTTCCGTGCAGGCATGGAACAACCCCTACCGTACCGATATAAAAATCCCTTCGTACATTCAGCCCAGAAAATAAACTATATGATGAGAAAATGTTTAGCCTTGGCGGCGGCCGTTTGTATGCTGGCAGCTGCACAGGCGCAAAAAAAGGCCATCAGTTATGAACAGGCATTTAAAAGCGTGGGCACCAATATACTGCAGGCTGCCCCGGCCCCGGCAACATGGGTAGACGACAATCATTACACCCAGTCTAAAAAAGATGCCGCAGACGGGCAGGTAAAAACCTTTTCGGTAGACGTAAAAACAGGTAAAGAAACCGCTTACACCCCTGCTGCAGAAGAAA